AGGGAACCACTACATCACGTGAGGTCCCTCATAACACCATCTGAGAGGGAGTTACTACACTACATGTCTGCTGTTCAACACCTCAGCTTACATGATCTACGTGTGTAAACATTAATCTGTATGCTCACTGTATGTTCCTTCACCTTTCTCTAATGAAGGCTTTTGTTAAACCACCAATGTATGTAATAAGACATTTATGTCCAATGTATATTTTCAGCCTTCGGGCTGCAGAACTTTTTCAATAAACCGTTAATTATTATTATTATTATAGTGGTCGTGGTACAATACAAACATGAAGGAGCTGAACTTATATATGTCATTTATCAACAACACGCCCTCAATAACAACCATCATCACTACTAGCAACAACACCACAGCCACTAACAACGGCACTACTAGCAATCATCATCACAACAAGCAACAATACCACAACCACCATCACTACCAACATCATCTCTACTACCACTACTACTAGCAACAACACCACAACCACCACTACCTACCACAACCACCACTACCTACCACAACCACCACCACCACTACCTACCACCACCAACACCACCACTGATTACCACAACCACCACCACTCACCACAACCACCACCACCACTACCTACCACCACCACCACTACTACTCACCACAACCACCACTACCTACCACAAATCCACCACCACCACCACTACCTACCACCACCACCACTACTCACCACAACCACCACTCACCTACCACCACCACCACGCCCACCACCACCACTACCACCACAATCCACCACTCACTCACCAACCACCACCACCACCACCCACCACCACCACCACTACCTACCCACTCCACCACCACTCACTCACCACACAACCACCACCCACCACCCACCACCACCCACCACCACCACCACTCCACCACCCCACCACCACCACCACCACTACCTACCTCACCACCACCACCACCACCACCACCACCACCACTACTCACTACCACTCACCACCTCACCACCACCACCACCACCACCTACCACCACCACTACCTACTACCACCACCACCACTACCTACTACCACCACCACCACTACCTACTACCACCACCACCACTACCTACCACCATCACATCGCCTGGCGGTCATCTCACACCCATGAACACTACGCCAGGCTAACGTTTGCTCGCCCGATTAACAATAACAAATAAATTATAATAAAATAAAAACAAAAACTAAATTAATGAATAAAATTGTCATAGAAATAAAAAAAATAAAAATCTATTCAATAAATAAATACTAATAATTACTACAATAAATAAATCAGTCATCGTCAATAAATAAAATGACTAATTATTAACAAAAACACTGAAGAAATTGAGTAAAACAACAAACAAAGAATTACGACCCCTGAAAAAAATAACAAAAACAGTAAAAACGATAATGAAACTTTAAAGAAAAATACAAAAACAATGACACGTGACAAACACAACTGCTATTTTTGTTAGCTTTTACGCCGATGGAGCTTTTTTTAATTATTTCTTTTATTTAGTTTTATTTTATAATTTTTTTTTGTTTTTCCTCAAATTTATTATTATTATTTAAACATTTACTCAATTATCGTCCCATGAACAAAAATAAATTATAAAAAATGATTCAATAAAGTTTAAATGTTATAAAGGGAAAAACACAATGAACATGAAGACTAACATAGTAAACATTTTATAACACAATATTATCAGTATTTTATATCTAACTTAAAATATAAAAGAAAATCATTAATGTGTATTATAGCACAAAATAATACTGGTATATATTCTAGCACAAAAAATATAAAAAAAATTAGTCTACAAGAAAATTCTACAAAATCACACAAAAACAAACGCACTGACGACAAACAACAACAACTGGGTCTGTTGAGCACAAACTGCGATAAAAGCAACATTTAAAAGCTTACTGTCCCGTGTGTGGTCCGGCCCTCAGCCCCACCACACATGATTCTCCCTTTATTTACTCGCCCTTTGTCATGGCTGTCTACCTTGACTGGTAACATGGCATCACCCTAAAGAACCGCACTGATAGACCGCTTCATGTAACATCACTGAGAAGACACGTGTTGATTGGCTATATCAAATGACGTAACTAGTAAGAAAAGCTCTGATTGGCTGCTTTACGGTAAGTCATTGTCAAGATGATTCCTGACAGGCTAAAAATCATGTGACGTAATAACCAGAAAAGCTCTCATTGGCCAATTCATGTGACGTCATTGGCGAGAACGACCTAATAGGTTGATTACACGATGTCGTTGAAGAAAAAACACTTGAGGTGAAAGGTTCATGTCCACGAAAGTCGAGATGGTAACACATACATACATACATACATACACACACACACACACACGCGGTAGGTCACTTTAAGGTTACTAATCACCTGCAGAGGTTCCCGCCCAAGACCACTGGCAGGTTAATTAGTTGAATAAGACAGGTGAGTTATATCACAGTAAGTTCAGATATAACAGAACACAACCTGACGTGTTGCTCTTAACTAACATACCATAACCTAACTAAGATAATATAACCAATATATTTATCACTTTACGTAAGTTTACATAACTTGGCGTAACGTAACTTAACCGAACCAGACTTATATACAGTATAACATCACCTAACTTAACACAACTTTACGTAATTAACTTGGCGTAACGTAACCTAACCTAAGATACGTTGATGGAACTTAAATGAAAAAATTACCACATTTAACACAACCTAAAATAACCGATACTAACTTGACGCAACCTAACCTAACGACCATTCGCATAGCCGTAGATAAAGCTAGTTAGAACTCATTAGAGATTGAGTTAAGTATAATCCAATCAGGAGAACTACCTTAGAGAGAGAGAGAGAGAGAGAGAGAGAGAGAGAAACACTGTACTACACCTTACTGTCACATGCGACCTTCAGTGAACTTTCCTCAGTAATGAATTAATAAACAATGCATTAACTTTTTACTATAAATGAAAAGACAATAAAGGTTTATTGTGTGTGTGTGTGAACAATACTGAGAGTAATCGTTCAACAACAATAAATAATCTTAGCTTCTCACTAACTACAACACACTCGCCTACAATTATCACAATGAGCTTCAACCATGACTATTAAACAGCTTGAAACAAGAAGGCAGGGCTACGGTAACTATTTTGCTGGTCAACCAATCAGGAGCAGCGTTGGGTGGGGCCATGAGACAAGCTAGCCACTCACAAAAGACGAAGGGCGTGGCCAGGGGCAGCGGTGAGACAAGCTAGCCACTCACGAGATAGGAGAGGCGTGGCCAGGAGCAGCAGTGAGACAAGCTAGCCACTCACGAGATAGGAGAGGCGTGGCCAGGAGCAGCAGTGAGACAAGCTAGCCACTCACGAGATAGGAGAGGCGTGGCCAGGAGTAACAACACACACAACACAAACTCTGGTAGCGAGTATAACGTCAACAAGAGAGACATTTTTACAGGTAAAGAGGGATGGTTTCTCGTCTCCAGAACAACCATCACCTGACCGTCCTACTCCTCGAGCGTCACAGTCTGGTTATAATATATTAGTTGCAGGATAATATTTCGCTGGTCCACACCTTCAATCACACACACATTATGGAAGGTGTGTGTGTGTGGGGGGGTCATCAAGCCACAAGAGGATAAAGGTTCTGGCAATATGAGTTTCATTGTGGTGGGATGTCGGTTAAGCACATTACCTAACCTAACCTAACCTGGCCAGCACCACAAGTCTACCCATTGCACCACTACAGTACACAGCCTCCTCCCATATGCTGTTGTCATGTACTGTATTTATGTAGTAACTTCAGATAAACTATATTGCTATTTGTTCCATTTACAGAGTTAACAACCTGGAGCACGGACGAACGTATGTATGGTCGCACGGACGAACGTATGTATGGTCGCATGGACGGACGTATGTATGTATGGTCGCACGGACGGACGTATGTATGGTCGCACGGACGGACGTATGTATGGTCGCACGGACGGACGTATGTATGGTCGCACGGACGGACGTATGTATGGTCGCATGGACGGACGTATGTATGGTCGCACGGACGGATGTATGTATGTATGTATGGTCGCATGGACGGACGTATGTATGGTCGCATGACGGACGTATGTATGTATGGTCGCATGGACGGACGTATGTTTGGTCGCACGGACGGACGTATGTATGTGTATGGTCGCATGGACGGACGTATGTTTGGTCGCATGGACGGACGTATGTTTGGTCGCACGGACGGACGTATGTATGTATGGTCGCATGGACGGACGTATGTTTGGTCGCACAGACGGACGTATGTATGGGTCGCACGGACGGACGTATGTATGGTCGCATGGACGGAGGTATGTTTGGTCTCATGGACGGGTATGTTTTCGATGCGCACAGACGTGATGTATGGTCGCACGGACGGACGTATGTATGGTCGCATGGACGGAGGTATGTTTGGTCTCATGGACGGAGGTATGTTTGGTCGCACAGACGGACGTATGTATGGTCGCACGGACGGACGTATGTATGGTCGCATGGACGGAGGTATGTTTGGTCGCACAGACGGACGTATGTATGTATGGTCGCACGGACGGACGTATGTTTGGTCGCATGGACGGAGGTATGTTTGGTCGCACGGACGGACGTATGTATGGTCGCAATAAGTGTTTTTAATACAGTTGGCTAAACTTTCATCAAATAGGAACAAATAGCTATATAATCTTTAACGTCATTCTCTAAGGTGTTGGATGTCCAGATACACTTTATCACTCCTGTGTGTGCGTAGAGTATAGTGGTGAACAAGGGAGGTTATACAACACGGTCAAACATGTGAGTAAGGCGGGCGGGCAGCAAGCCTCTAACAGCATAACAATATTAGGTGCAGGGTTAAGTAAACACAGATGACACAGTCTGTGGTGGTGGCCCCGAGGGTCAGTGTTGGAGGCCCAGGGTCATCTCACCTGGGAGCAACAACTTCCAACACTTGGGTGCCTACCTTGATGTGCTGTTGCAGCTGTTTCTCGTGCTGTTCCGCCAGCTGCTGCTGTTGTTGCTGGTACTGGTGCAGGAGCAGCTGTTGCTGGATCTGCTGCTCCTGTTTGAGCTGTTCAGAAGACCAAGAACACAGCATCAAGTCATTGAATATTGAAAACTGTTACAACCTTCCTTCATACAATGACATAAGCGGTAATACACTATGTGTTTACACTCAGCAGTGAGCTAACTCCTATGTACCGCCAAGGCAATAGATTACAATAAGCGACTAACATTTACTCCAATATATAATACGTTAACACCATCTTAACTATCTGTGCAAGTACAAGTTTACTGATTCATATTGAGTTGGAGAAAATAATAGAAATATCAGAACAGGGTCAGATTTAGCTCCAAGTACACCCCCCAATATTAAGTTGACAGACAGCTCAAGATGCAGTTAACATACAAAAAGGGACAATTGAATTATCAAGTGTTTGTACACAGGGAATTTTTAATGGGCTTAACCTATCGTTTGGAAGATAATCTGAAGCTCTACTAAACCAACTATACAGTAAGTATCGTGACAAACAAATAAGGCACAGCAGTAGCCTACACTATGCTGATAACAACACTACTGTAGCAACTGCAAATTATAATGTAAAATGTAAATAATTTAAATACAATTTTAACTTTTAGTCTGAAGGAGCAGGAGCTACCTAAAGGAGGAGGATTAATCTCAAGGAGGAGCATCTACTGTACCCGGAGGAGGACAGACATGAAGGAGGACCTACCTGAAGGAGGATTTATCTCAAGTAGGACCGACCTCGAGGAGGATGTACCTGAAGAAGGAGGATCTACCTGAAGGAAGAGGATCTATCTCAAGGAGGATCATCTACCTGGAGGAGGACCTACCTGAAGGAGCAGCAGCTACCTGAAGGAGGATGATCTACCTGAAGGAGGACCTACCTGAAGGAGAAGGACCTACCTGAAGGAGGAAGATCTACCTGGAGGAGGACCTACCTGAAGGAGCAGGAGCTACCTGAAGGAGAAGGACCTACCTGAAGGAGGAAGATCTACCTAAAGGAGGAAGATCTACCTGAAGGAGGAAGATCTACCTGAAGGACGAAGATCTACCTGAAGGAGGAGTACCTACCTGAAGGAGGAAGATCTACCTGAAGGAGGAGTACCTACGAAGGAGGATCTACCTGAAGGAGGAAATTACCTGAAGAATCTTCCAGAAGGAAGATCTACCTGAAGGAGGAGGATCTACCTGAAGGGGGAGTACCTACCTGAAGGAGGAAGATCTACCTGAAGGAGGAAGAATTACCTGAAGGAGAAGAACCTTCCAGAAGGAAGATCTACCTGAAGGGGGAGGACCTACCTGAAGGGGGAGGACCTACCTGAAGGAGAAGGACCTACCTGGAGGATCTACCTGGAGGAGGAAGACCTGCGTGAAGGAGGAAGATCTGCCTGAAGGAGGACCTTCCCGAAGGAGAAGGATCTACCCGAAGGAGGAAGATCTACCTGGAGGAGGAAGATCTACCTGGAGGAGGAAAATCTACCTGAAGGAGCAGGACCTACCTGATGGAAGAGCTACCTAAAAGAGGACTTACCTGAAATGGGGACCTACCTGAAGGAGGACCTACCTGAAGGAGGAGGACCTACACAAAGGAGGACCTAGCAAATGATGAAGGACCTACCTGAAAGAGGCCTACCTGAAGGAGGCGTTGCTGGAAGGATGGGTCTGGGATGACGGCCTCATTAGCCATATCGGTGGAGGAGAGGTCGTTGGCAGAGGTCAGGTGCGGTGACCCTATGTGAGGTGACCCTATGTGTGGTGACCCCAACGGCGGGCTGCTCACCTCTGTAATGGTCACCACAGACACACCTGTTAGTCATCACCAAGTAGGGGAATGTTACACCTGTCCAAACATCTAAAACACTTTCAAACATCTGTCCAAAGAAGAATGTAACACTTGTCCTAAGATGTCCACAGGAAGAATGTTACACGTGTCCTAAAATGTCTACAGTAAGAATGTTACACGTGTCCTAAAATGAAGACAGTAAGAATGTTACACGTGTCCTAAGATGTCTACAGGATGAATGTAACACTTGTCCTAAGATGTCTACAATAAGAATGTTACACGTGTCCTAAGATGTCTACAGTAAGAATGTTACACGTGTCCTAAAATGTCTACAGTAAGAATGTAACACTTGTCCTAAGATGTCCACAGGAAGAATGTAACACGTGTCCTAAGATGAAGACAGTAAGGATGTTACACGTGTCCTAGATGTCTACAGTAAGAATGTTACACGTGTCCTAAGATGTCTACAGTAAGAATGTAACACGTGTCCTAAGATGTCTACAGTAAGAATGTTACACGTGTCCTAAGATGTCTACAGTAAGAATGTTACACGTGTCCTAGATGTCTACAGTAAGAATGTAACACGTGTCCTAAGATGAAGACAGTAAGGATGTTACACGTGTCCTAGATGTCTACAGTAAGAATGTTACACGTGTCCTAAGATGTCTACAGTAAGAATGTTACACGTGTCCTAGATGTCTACAGTAAGAATGTAACACGTGTCCTAGATGTCTACAGTAAGGATGTTACACGTGTCCTTAAGATCTGTAACCCTGCATTATCACACCGGGAGTGACTGTACTGTACACCTCGTGGCGTCACTAAAATACATCTGATGCACATTAACGTGAGTAAGAATTAAGGAGAAAGCAAGAGAGAGAGAAGGAGGAAGAGAGACGAAGAGAGGAAGGGAGGAGGGAGGAAGGGAGAATGGCTGGAGGGAGGAAGAAACCAAGGGAGAGGGAGATATAGAGGGTGATTAATAAGATCTCGTGGATGAGTTAAATATAGATTCATATTCCCAGACCCTTGGTGTCACGAGGGTGTTGGTGACGCAGGTCTTGTGTGTGACTACAAAGAAAATAACCACACACACACACACTACACCCAACTGTATAGTATATATATAATGTGCACACAAACTTGAAGCATGTATACGGACTCTAATACGTACACAGGATTGTGAAATGTACACACACTTGTAAACTATAAACACACTTGCAACACACACACACACATATACTTATAGCAATATGGATGATGATAATAAACCAACAATAGTAATAATGATGATGATGATTATGACAATGATAAAGTAACAACAACAATAATATTAATTATAATAAACATAATAATAATATATAAACACTAATAATAAACTTGTTCTCTGTAAACCACAAGTGTTCTGGGAAAACTTCAACTATAGTGAGTCTCTCTCTCTCTCTCTCTCTCTCTCTCTCTCTCTCTCTCTCTCTCTCTCCTCCTCTCTCTCCTCCCCCCCTCCTCTCCTCCCTCTCCTCCCTCTCACTCAATCTCTCACCCTCTCCCTCAATCTCTCTCTCTCTCCCTCTCCCCTCCTCCTCTCCCTCTCTCCTCCTCTCCCTCCCTCTCTCCCCTCTCCTCTCCCTCCTCTCTCTCTCCCTCTCCCTCCCTCTCTCCTCAATCTCTCCCTCTCCTCTCTCCCTCTCCTTTCTTGACCAGGGTGGCACCATAGCCTACGTTGATTTCCATCACGTGTGAGGACGAGGTTTAAAAAAGAAAGAACAACAATTAGTGTGGGTGTACAGGTGAGACACAGGTAACAAGTTAATGGTGGGTGTACAGGAAACAACAGTAACAAGTTAATGAGTGGTGTACAGGTGAGACACAGGTAACAAGTTAATGAGTGGGTGTACAGGTGAGACACAGGTAACAAGTTAATGAGTGAGTGTACAGGTGAACAGGTAACAAGTTAATGAGTGGGTGTACAGGTGAGACACAGGTAACAAGTTAATGAGTGAGTGTACAGGTGAGACAGAGTAACAAGTTAATGAGTGGGTGTACAGGTGAGACACAGGTAACAAGTTAATGAGTGGGTGTATGAGACACAGGTAACAAGTTAATAGAGACACAGGAAAAGTTAATGAGTGGGTGTACAGGTGAGACACAGGTAACGTTAATGAGTGGGTGTACAGGTGAGACACAGGTAACAAGTTAATGAGTGAGTGTACAGGTGAGACACAGGTAACAAGTTAATGAGCGAGTGTACAGGTGAAACACAGGTAACAAGTTAATGAGTGAGTGTACAGGTGAGACACAGGTAACAAGTTAATGAGTGAGTGTACAGGTGAGACACAGGTAACAAGTTAATGAGCGAGTGTACAGGTGAGACACAGGTAACAAGTTAATGGTGAGTGTACAGGTGAGACACAGGTAACAAGTTAATAGGTGGGTGTAGGTGAGACACAGGTAACAAGTTAATGAGCATGTAGTGAAACCAGTAGATTAACTCAAGATTCTAATTACAATTAAACTACAACAATAATAATAATAATCTAAGTAACAAAAACAACAATAATATAATAATAATAAAAATAATAATAATAATAATAATACCAGTGCCATCACCAGAGAGAGATCTTACATCACCCCCTTTGTCTTCTTTTAAAATAAACAATTAAGCGGTAAATCCCTCCTCCTCGACCCCTCTCCCCGGCCTCTTCCCCCCCTTCGTCTTCCCTGGTGTAGATCCTCCTCCAACTAATGTACGTACGGTCTGCTAACAACATCAGACGAACAACATAAATATACAGATCCTCTAACTACCCCCTCCCTTACAGGAATAACATTAACGACCATAACAGGGAGGGGAGAAGGAAGGATGGAAGGGAAGGAAGGAAGGAGGAAGGGCGTATGGGGAGAGGCTCTTGGTGTGAGAAGAAGGGGGTGAGAAGGAGGAGGAGGTGGGGGAAGGGGGTGGGGGGTGAGGGAAGAGGACGATAGGGAGAGGGAATATGTGAGGAAGACAGAGAGAAAGAGGAGGAGGAGGAGAAAGAAAGGGGAGAGATGCAGAATGATCTTCACTGTCGACAAGCTCGATACACGAGGGGGGTCAAGTGGGCAGAGAGAGGACCAGATAAGAGACCAGGTAGGAGACCAGGTAGGAGACTAGAGTAGGAGACCAGGAAGGAAACTAGTAGGAGACCAGGTAGGAGACTAGATGGAGACCTAGGTAGGGAAACTAGGTAGGAGACCAGGTAGGAGACTAGATAGGAGACCAGATAGGAAACTAGATGAGAGACTGGTAGGAGACCAGGTGGAAACTAGATAAGAGACTAGGTAGGAGACCAGGTGGGAAACTGAATAAGAGACCAGATGAGGAGACTAGGTGGAGACCAGGTAGGGAACCAGATAAGAGACCAGGTAGGGAAACTAGGTAGGAGACCAGATAAGAGACCAGGTAGGGACAGGTAGGAAACTAGATAGACCAGGTAAGAGACTAAGTAGGAGACCAGGTAGGAGACTAGATTGGACTAGCAGACCATAATGTTCAGACAGACAGACAGACAGACACAGAGGCAGGCAGGCAGGCAGAGGCAGACAGACAGACAGAGAGAGACACAGAGGCAGACACAGAGGCAGACAGACAGACAGACAGACACAGAGGCAGACAGACAGACAGACACAGAGGCAGACAGACAGACAGACACAGAGGCAGACAGACAGACAGCAGACAGACAGAGGACAGACAGACACAGAGGCAGACAGACAGACACAGAGGCAGACAGACAGACAGACACAGGGCAGACAGACAGACAGACACAGGGCAGACAGACAGACACAGAGGCAGACAGACAGACAGACACGGAGGCAGGCAGACAGACAGAGGCAGACAGACAGACAGAGCAGACAGACAGACAGACAGAGATTTATAATTATACTACCGTTTGCATGTATAAAAAGCTGAAAGACAGACACAAACAGACAGTAGGAAGGTACTACTTGTATGGCCGGGTCAGTACCACGTGTAAGGGGGGGGAATAACACGTCTTGATATATGGGGTGATAGTGAAGAGCCTGGGGGTGGAGGAGCTGGGAGGGTGGAAGAGGGTGGACAGGGGTAAAGGGGAGAGTGGAAGGGGTAAGGGGGTGTGAGGGGGGAGAGGGGGTGGAAGGGAGGAGGGGTGGAGGGGAGGGTTGAAGGAAAGGAGAGGGGTTGGGGGGGTGTGTGTGGGGGTGGTGTTATAGGGTGTGGGAAGGCCCTCAAGATGGAAGGGTGACACGACAATTTACTACCTGTCTCCTGACCTATTTATACCATCATCATCAACGACTGCCTTCCCCCCCCTCCATACACTGTAACTCACCATAACTGTACATGCCCCCCACACACTGTAACCTAAGTACAACGTAACCTCTACCTTATACACATTGTTTAATAAGCGACTCGATACCACATTATAGTGTAAATAACTACCGAGTGTTTGCGTGGAGTTACAGATAATTTGGTGGACAACTGCAGAGCTTTAACAGGAGTCCAGTGCACGTGTGGGGACCCGGATGACGGACAGACGAAGATATGAAATTTATAGACAAACTGGACTAAGACTTAAATTATCTAACAGGACTAAGACTTAAATTATCTAACAGGACTAAGACTTAAATTATCAAACAGGACTAAGACTTAAATTATCAAACAGGACTAAGACTTAAATTATCAAACAGGACTAAGACTTAAATTATCAAACAGGACTAAGACTTAAATTATCAAACAGGACTAAGACTTAAATTATCAAACAGGACTAAGACTTAAATTATCAAACAGGACTAAGACTTAAATTATCTAAATTGTAAAGACAAACATAACTTACAATAAACACTATTGACGCTAAAGGGAGCCGGGGGAGGTTATACCTTGACCAATTTACAGAATTACCTGACAATTTATGCAATTACCATGTCGTGTACGGCAGGTAACATTACTGGCCCAACTATTTTATTTTATAATTAGAACTGGCAGGGTATTTATGGGGACACACACACACTCACACACACAGAGACGCACACACACACAGATGCACGCACGCACACGCACACACAGCAGCAAGGGGTGATTGAGGTTACAGTGTCACAGGTGTTGTACCCCCTCCCTCCCTCCCTCCCTCCTTCCCTCCTCCATCACTGCTTTCCCTCCTCCTTTCGTCTCTCCACCACCACCACCGTTACAACAGCTACCACACCCCCTCCTCCTCCCTCCTTACAATCACCACAAGAACCACAAAGAAACAGATGGAGAATGAAACTCACCACCACTACCATCTACACCTACCACTACCACTATTACCACCTACCACCACCACTACCACCTACCACCACCACTACTACCACCACCTATAACCTACCACTACTACCACCACTTACCACTATCACCTACCACCACTACACCTACCACTACTACCACCACCTATAACCTACCACTACTACCACCAACTACCACTATCACCACCAACTACCGCTATCACCATCACCTACCACTACTACCTCCACCTACCACTATTACCACCACAACAACCATCAAAAAGAGCCGCAGTTTGTCATATAGTTCACAACATCAATGGGTTATATTGGAATGTCATGGGTTAGTGGCGGTATGTTTCCCCGCCTCCCCTCTCTCTGTATACATCATTATCGTGAGCCACAGACCGAGTAGTGACATCCTCCTCTCTCGCATTTGTTGCTAGGCTCACACATACACTTTATCTTCTTACAAGTTATTAATTCCTTCAATTCGGGATCAACTAATTAGTCAACCAATACACCTGTACCGTAATTTACACAAACATCTTTACAGTTTAATAATATCTTAACTGATCCCGAGTTATATTATCGGTTAATGCGTAAAGTTATACTGCTCAAAAGGTCAATATGAGGCTGACAGTGTTACCAATTAGATGTTTTCTTGCAATGTTACCAATTATATGATGTTTTCTTGCAGTGTTACCAATTATATGATGTTTTCTTGCAGTGTTACCAATTATATGATGTTTTCTTGCAGTGTTACCAATTACATGATGTTTACTTGTAGTGTTACCAATTAAAAGCCGTTCTCTTGCAGTGTTACCACATCAATGCATTACACTAGAGCGAGTACGGTAAACTCTCCCCCACTGTACTTTACCGACCTCAGAACTATTACACACACACACACACACACGCGACCATTTCCGCTCACTGTTACCACCATAACGAGAAATCCCTCACTCCCACAGTTGCCAGGTAAGGCAGCACCCCGTTATTACACAAACACACCGTAATTGCCTATAATAACAAGTTTACGTCACAGCATAATGACAGCGTTGACAAGTGCGGATAAGTTGACGTTTATATATATATATACAGTAAATGACAACCATTAACACACACACACATATATATATAATATATAACCTTCGGATATTCTAATCGTTGACAGTTCTTCAAATATTATATAAAACCACACATTTCACAGCTCATTGAAACGTTAATATCCGATAAAACAGCTGATATAAGAACATAAGAATGGAGGAAAAAGCAGCGGGCCTATTGGCCCAAACTGGGCAGTCCCATTTACACCCAACCCCAATAGCTCATATCCACCCAACCTATGTTTGAAGCTATCCAGCGTATTCAGTTAATGATGATATTTGATAACTTGTTCTCATATCCACTACTCTGTTACCAAACCAATGTTTACCTATTTCGCGCCAATCTAAATTTGTCTAATTTAAA